CGCAAATACAGCATGTACTTCAACGCCAAGAAGCCCGCTCGTTTGACAAGTACGTATCATTCCGATTTGTTAGGAATCTGTAAGGCTAACCTACATAATAGAAATCTCGTCATCGCTTTGCGTCATCACCTCATTGCCTTCGCGTTACCGCGACCCAGAGACCGCTCTCCCTTACGCCAATTCATACGCATATGGGCAAATCCGCCGTCTAATTTCTGAAGGGTATATCTGGAGCTCGATGCTTGGGTGCTTTGTCGGGCCGGCCGAGGCTGCCCGTGGCGTGCCCGAGCGATTTACAGGCAAACCGGGTCCGGGTACACTAATACTACAGACCGACAAGGATGAGGGCCCGGCCGAGTCGATTACAGGGAAGAGGGTCGACAAAATGGCTCTAAATGGCGAGGTTCCTTCCACGCCCACCCCAGCCGCAACTCGAGCAGCGCCTCCAGAGCCAATGGAGATTGATAAAGCATGATCGATTATTTGTACGATATTTAGTAGATACCCAGATAGAATCGAGACCTACCTAGGTAAGAACCCAAAGTGGACGTTCGCATCATCTCTTCTCCACATCGAATAATGGACTTTGTTCTAAGACTCTGCAGACCTTTCAACGTCAAGGCTTCAGTGTTATGATGTATTCTATGTTGCCAGATGTCACCGGCCCCACCGAAAAAAATCAATCCAAGCTCGCCCCTATGGTATTTATATCCCGACCTGGCCTATCCAAGGAACCATTTCGGTACCCGGCGGAAAGCAAACAGGGAAAAAGATCACAAACAAACATCAAATGGGAAAGTTATTTTCTGGTGTAAACAGTGAAGAATATCTTCCAGGCATTCTCGAAACAAAGCCCCGGTTTTCCCCATAGACCCGAAACACGGAAGATCGACCTTTAGCACTCGAGTCTGGCCTGGAATGATAGTCCCACATTTGCCCACTCTGACGAGGGCCCTGCAACACTTGTAATAGGTAGACGTGTCAGCGTGGCACTTCATATACTACCCCCGCAGCGAGTCTCGATTGTTCTGTCTATTTTCGTTGTCGCCGTAGCCGGCAGTTATTATGCTACTGTCATAACTGTTTTGTTCAAATGTACGGAGTAAAAAACAAAGGTATGTAAAAGTGGCAATGATGTATTTCATACCCACCAGTTCACGCCATCTGGGTCTGTTTATATGAATCCTTGAACTCTTCGAGGCATTTATGGCGTCATTTAGAATGTAGTTCTTCCATGGTATATTGGTATGTTGTACAACATATATACAAGTATTAACTTGTAGATACTGGGGAATTGTCAGGAATGGTGTCAATCTACCGATCACACCAGATCCGATCCTCTCCGGAGATACGGTCCCTGCGCTACTGCATGCATATAGTTGGAAGTCCACATGCATTTCAGGCATCTAGGAACTGAGAAACTGTACCTAATGAAGTGAACAAGTGGTACAACACACAATGACAATGACAGATCCAGAGAAATAGAGAAACAGAGACCCATACGAAAATATAAAATATCAATAGGAATACAAGGGCTAATTATAGTGGGCAGCCCTAGAGCTCGTCACGAGTGACTCAGCTGGTCTAGATCGGGGATATTGCGTGTCGGGGGTAAGTACCCTGGGAGTACCCGACAAGTACCCGGGAAGTACTCTTTAGCGTAAATATGCGGTTGAAGGCTGTCAGAAGTGACTTCCTGGCTACATGGCTCCAAGGGTTCTGTCTCAAAGAGTCTAGACGTGATCGTCTCATCCTACCGCAACAGCACGTTTCCTCTCTTCTCTCTTCAGGGCTTTCCCCCTCCACTTTGTATTTATATCCCAATTCACTCCCTCATTTTTATTAATTCTTTCTGTGCCATTTATCTTCTTCCATCTAGGGTGTTTTGCAAGATAGACCTTACACTCCGTATAGACATCCTTTGGTATGTCACTTATCTATCTTTTCCTTATCTCTCCCCACTCACAGGCTAAAGATAGCCCTGTTGCATCCCGATGTCCGTGTGTCAGATGCTAACACAACCTTATCAGCATTTCTTTTCTTCATACGTTTCTCAATATACATACTCCGGTGTTTCTGCAATTTTCCTAGGAAGCATTTGTATTCCCAATTGCACCGACTCGGCACATTCCAGTTGGAATCAATACTTCGACCACAAATCCCTCAGTCTGTGCTCCCCCAAGGGCCCTTGTGCTCCACACTTGCTCCAGTCTCGGCGATAGAGTCTTCGTGATAAGATAGTGAGGCATTTGAAAGCCTACACCGCCACCAATGACTCAAACAGCCCCCTTCCACCGCCGCTCCCCTTCTTCTCCTCATGTATCCAAGTCCAAGTCCACTCGTCCAGCTTTACATCGACGAGGGACATCCGGTGCCAACGTTACAATCTCTAAATTGGGCTCGGGACAAAGGGTAGCGAGCAAGCCGTCTACGTCTTCGGACGATACCGAGTTTGACATGGCCAGCTTCTTGAACTTTTGGTATGTGATTGACCTAAAGCTCTTATCTTTGAATCCTGCAGGGATAATCTCCCTCACATGCCTATTGCCGTCATTTGTGTTCCATACACCGGTCTTTTCTTCAAGGACATAAAGCTGACCCAATTCCAGCGCCATGTGTGAGAACCAGATCACTGTCCCCAACAACACTTTGTTATATTGTAGCGAAAGGTATGTGGCAAACCCCCTCGGCCTGTATTTAGAGCCATTGATGCCCTCTCCTTCCCTCTCCCAATTCTCAATTCTTTGTTTGGGACCTGCATCATGTCTTGGCACTTGAATACTTACCATTCCCTTTCATCTATATAGTTGCCGCCGCAAAGACTCCTGCAAACCACTCTCAGCATCACTACCATCCATGTCCTCAATGTCTTCCACCACACCTCCCACATCTCCTCCTCTCTCTCCACGCACCATCGTGGCCCCAATGACCCCAACCAGGGTGCCAAGCCACCCAATCCCTGCCATGCGGATACCCAGCCACGTGCATGATGCCAAGTCAGATCTTGACCCCACCGAATGGAAGCCCGTATTAGCCCGCGGCGGCTCATCCCTGGCATCGTCCGACGCGTGGAACTATCTATCCCAGTTCCACCGGGGCGGCGAGCCCATGCTCCCTCGAGCCGTTCAACGCAGCAGCTCCAGCCTTCCCACCCTGGCACACAGCCACAGTCACGTTCCCAGCCTGACGAACACCCCGTCCACCGTGGCTTCGTCCTTCAGCAGCACTGCCTCCGACTACCTGGGCAGCATGTATGAGGCTCAGCGGCCGCTGCCCCCGCGCCACAAGCCGTACTTTTCCGGTACGAGCGTGACCAAGGGAGTCGAGCTGGTCGTCCCGCACATCGCTTCTGCGCATGAGGAGCTCGGCCCCATTGGTGTCTCGGACCGTGGCTCCATCTTCCCTGCCAGCAGTGCTGTGTGGGAAGATACCCCATGTGAGAAACACTCTGCTCCTATCTGCATGGCGCGGGGTATTGGCGGCCGGCCCGCTGAGACTTGCGTGAAGAATTGAATTGAACAAGAGAATAATTGGGGCTGTTGTTTGCTGTCTCATGAAATGAGATGAGCTTATCTTTGCTCCTTTTATTTTTCCTTTGTTTCCTTTTGGTTTATCTCTATATTCTTTTCTTCTTTTCTTTGAATTCTGGGTCCGAGCGAGATGTGGCTCTTCAGCGTGAAAAATGATATGATCTGATGGATTTTGCTCTCTATTTTATTATCTACTCTCTATACCACGAGCAAATATAGACTTATTAATGCGTACAATCGCTATTTCTGCTGGAATATTCTCTTTCATGGTTTAGCACTGTTCTCCCCTCCTGGCCTTGGTTAGGAAGGAATTGGAAGACAGGTCTCAGTCATCATTCAGCGACTGATATGTAATTATCTAGCCCAGCGAACATCTTCTGTTCGGCAGCGGCGAGAGCGTCAAATCCACTTCCGTTGCAGGAGGACTCGGACTTCCCCACGAATGAATCCGTTATCAACGCAACGCCCAGAGAGTCGGGCCGGCTCGGTCGATCGGACCTATAAAGGTGAAAAAAGTGGGCCTTGTAGGACTAAACGAGTAGGATAATGTGGAGAGAGATGGTGGGGATCGATGGTTTTGGACGCTGCAGGTTGATCGCCTTCACCATCGCCTTAGTCGTCTGCCTTCCCACTCGAGAACCTTGGAAATATCTGTTTTAATAGTCTTCTTGGTAGTCTTTCTTCATGCTTGTTTTTAAGCTACCCTTCGCTCGTAAGCCAACCTAGCGACCTCGGAGTAAGCGTGGGTAGTGAAATGCATACTTGGAGCCGTGCCACGGAAGTCCCAAAAGCGCACGTAGGCCAAACGAGGCCACCATGAAGTGAAAATTGTTATGAGAGGATATCTCTGGTATCTAGGTCAAATGAACCTTCGGGATTATTTCAATCATCTCGACTGAGGTTCAATAAATTAAGCAATGTTAGTCTGGTTCTTTAATTCAAGCTTATTTATTTGTGGATACACTTACCAACAGCCTATCTAGCTTATAACTTTTGTACATACGTACCGTATGAATGTACAATATACGTACATAGTTGGGTCCTGGGTCGGCCGAAATTAGGGCTACTAGTCAATCTCAGTTGTGGAAACTTTCTCCTTGGTTTGCTCAGTGTAATTGATAAATAAAGCATAACAAAAAGAAAGAAACGTCTTGTAAAGGCAGACAATACTAAAATATTGACCAAGAACACCCAACAAAGAATAATAAGTCAAAATGATTGAAAGAGAAACGCCTTGCAACCTCCCAGATCCATCTCATCTATCCTATTAAGGATAAAGGAACCAAATAAACTCATATCGCACAATCGACCAGTAAATCCAATATCTATATCTAGGCCCTAGAAATCAGAAGTAATGCAGCACATATAGCACTCCTTATTCGGCTTATAGACAGCCAAAGCCTATGAGTAAAAAGCATTAGCAAGCCCCCCATATCCACAGATGTCATATAACGAAGATATATATCCATCTTATATGCAGGAAAAAGAAAAAGAGAAACTCACGTAAGGCTTCGCGCACTTCGCATCACTCTCATGAGCAAAGCACTTCCCCATGCAGAAGCTATTCCCCTCGTCCTTGCCATGATGTTGGTTGGGGAAGAGGGGAGGAGGTGCAACCTGCGAATCCGGTCTCAATGGGTCGATTGGAGCCAGGCCACCGGATGCTCCGACTGGGACGTCGTGACCTCCTGGGCCAAAGTTCTGGGACCGGCCTTGGGGTGCGGATTCCTGGTGACGAGGGGCCGGAGTCTGGTGCACCTGGTGTGCAGAGATATCCGGGCTTGGATGGTTGTATGCGTACCCAGGGGCTGGGGCCTGAGGATACGACCGAGCGAAAGGTGCTTGAGAAGGTCGCACCACGAAGGTGCTGTGGATCAGAACAGCTGGCGATGAAGCCGGGGCTCGGATTGGGGTGTGAGGGGTCGGGGCGGTGTTCTCATAGTCGTCGTAGCCAACCTCATAATTGCCGTAGTTGCCATTTCCGTTGTTGTTGTAGCTCTGGCCCTGATTCTGATTCTGGTGTTGGTTGTCGTTTGAACCTCCGTTGATGTTTTTCAGATATTCCAGTTCCCCGGGGCCTGGACCGAATTGTTGGGCGTATTGTGCCGAAGCGAAGGAGACGCTGAGGAGGAGGGCTGAAAGATGCATGTTTAAATTGTAGCTGTTGTTGTTTTTGTTTTCTTTCTTCTCTGTTTTGATATATAGATGGCGACTGGTCGTCGTTTGCTGTCGTTGATTGTCGGTTGTCGAGATTGTCGAGATTGTCGGAGGTCGAGGTACAATCAACGCATTGGATCAGGGCTGGTTATTATGTAGTACGCGTATATTAGGAATTGAGGGGTGTGTTTGGGTTTTGCGCGTTGGTGGCATTTTTGGATGGCTGTGGAATGTGGGTATTTGGATACGTTGGCATACACGATGGAACTCTTACATGACATGGTGTATGAATTAGTTAAGGTGCTTGAGCAATTAGCCCATTCTGTCTAGCCAGTGGTCGCTGCTATTCTTGCATCTGATTCTGACCGGGCGTGAGGTGTGAGCTTTGCTCATGATGTCTGCATAGCAACATCCGCGGAGGTGGATTGATAAACAGGACAGCTGGAGTGTGTGCCTTGATTAGTCACGCGTGTGAAGGATGGATTCATGGATACGATATATACTGTCCGAAATAAAGTGCACATCCAGCCCTTGGAGACGCTGTTACTGCCTCAGGCGACGTATCGGGGTAAGCGTTATACCAAAGTTTAGAATTTCAAAGGTCATTGATATCCATGGAACCGCAAACCTTGGAACCCTAAATCAACGAATCCCAAGGTCATCTGCCAAGCCCTGGAGACACCTGTCACGTTCACGTAAGGATTTTACGTAAGGCCTCGGGGCTTGATGAGAGGCTGAGGCTGGAAGACTAACTCATGGCTATTACGAGCCATTGACTCGCTCTCGCTGTCCCCCTCACCACCTCAACGTAGGCAACTTAGACCCTCGCCGAGTTAAAACATGTCCGCTCTTATGTCTTGTAAACAACAGGAGAGCTGCTAGTCGGGCCTGGGAAATGCGCCTCCCCTTGGTCGGCCCGTGGATGACCTGAGTAGCAACAAACCATCCCCAGAAGAAAACATCGTACATGCAAAGGGAGAAGTTAGATCAACTCTGCTTAGCAGACTGCCACTTGAGTCCACGGGTGGCTGGACTAAGAACATTCGGAGCCTCATCAAGGATTGACAACCGTAGAGGTACGATTCTTTGGAGGTTCCACTGTATACAGCAGTCACAGGTCCCCACACTAAGGGCAATACCAGGAGCACGGAGAAGATCCGTCCCGGCCCGGGTATTCTCTCGAGGCTTCACTCCACGAGAACTTCCAACAAATGCTAACATGTTCACATATTGGCGGAGCACGGTCCGGATGCCGAATTCCTAGACTTCAGGGTACATTGTAGAACGAAAGTCTGACGCTCATTGCGTATTTCAATGTTGGCGGCAGTGGAGCCCCCCAATAACCTCGCCAGGAACTATTTTCCCTCATCATCGGCGGATCCAATTGGACGGGTTGGGTGATAGGGCTTTCCCTTGTCTTTCCTTCCCCTTAGGAAAGGAAAGTGCAGACCATGGACCTTCCTTATGAAAGCTGGGTGTGTCCTACTAGGGAGAAGTGACAGCTGGAAAGTCTTGAGGCACACCCTCTAGATGAGGTTCTCCCCAGAGAATCTCTGGCATCACTTGATGACCGGAGTCCTTGATTCCAGGTTAGGTCGAAGGGGTCGAGCGTAGTCGATCTCGGCTTCAAGGTGGGTAGACTTCTCACCTGCTTCTCATTCAAATCTCATGTCTAACCTGCCATGATCCATAACCATCACCAACAAGAAAGGCTCATATTGACGAGAAAACGACCACAGGAAGAAACTGCCCCATGCATCGAGCCGACAAATGGGGCAGCTTCCCTGGGGTCAAGGTTACCGACCGTGTTGTGTAATGACTGACTCGGACAGATCGATATCACCCACAAGCTACAGCGGATAATGACAGCGTTGCTTGTTTTCAGGGTGCCTAGGAAACACGACGACACGTTTTCGCCATGCACAAAGCCGACGACGATACCCATCACGACCCTCGCCGACAGCCCGACAACACCAAAGTAATCATCGACATGGCCTGGATGAAACGGCCTCGAATCACGGATCGATACTCCACTTATTGTGCCTGCCTAGATGATCACGGCGTTCTATGCTCTGTGACCATGAAACCCTGTGCTCAAGTTGACATCCGACGCGAAGACGGCCTTCAGACACAGACTTTTCCAAGCTTGGAAGACCAACAGACATCATGACCCTTGACTTGAACCGACATGGAACCAACGTACACTGCATCACTGATGCAAAAGACGACCCACGACAACGTCCACAGGAATAGTTGGCCCCATTGCCCATACTGCACTACCAGTCATGGGGTGCTGCACTGGTGCGGCGCAGCAATGAACCCATGATCAGCCTACATCTGAAGGACGACATCGGCGGTGAAATGCGGTCGGTTACCAGTGTACACTTTTGCAGGCCAGCCAAATACCGGTGCGAAAACTCGGGCGAAGCAATATGTGACTCCTCTACCCCAGTCCCCCTAGTAGGCCCGGTCCAAACGAATCGCGAGAAGTAGTCCCAACCGAACCAGAACTTCCGATTCATCGTATGTTCTTCTTTGGCCACCGTCTAGCCATTCGACGAAGCGAAGGCAAGGCCCGGGAAACGCCGCCTAGGAATACTTTGGTTCCCTTCGCAGTTCCCGTTGTCGTCCCACGAAACACCTTCATCAAGCCCATATCCCCGGAAATACCCCGCAAATACCCTGGCGGTGATGACAGAAACAGTTGAGATGGTACATCGGAATCAAGAGACGCTATTCTGCCGCACCGATGATCCGTTCCGTATGGCCAATAACCGAAAAGTGTTGGTATAAGGATAGATGCCACACTACACTCACATAGAAGCCCATAGGAGCCAGTGGTTGGGTGGGTTGGTCTATCATACCCAAAGCAACGCCAAACTCCGCATAAATGCTGATTCCAGGTCACACCCCCGAGTCGTGGTATTCGGCCCAGTACCTAGACACTGCCAGACTGAGTAATGTCATGGAGCGTTGCCCCTCACATCCAGCTGAGTCCATAACCCCCATAACCAGAGAGATGCCATGCGCCAGTCGCACAGAAGCACACGGTGAGCACATGCTTGGGTCACCCGAACCAACGCCGCCAGACACCGTATCAAATGCTAGTTCCATGTCACACTCCCGAGTTGTGGTATTCGGCCAAGTACCAAGACACTGCCAGACCGGGTAATATGATGAAGTTGGTGAATCGGCCCTCCCGTCCAGCCGTGTCCATAACCCCCATAACCGGACAGCCAGGTCATTATAACCATTATATCCCCTGTTCTGCTTTCCCCTGTTCTGCTTTAAACGGCCAGAAACCGGTGTCTGGGCAGTCTCACAACTTATTCAAGGTGTGGTGCTCAAGTTTCAAGGCCTTCGGGGTTCGCGGTACCGGGATTTGGGATCAGGAAATTGATGTCTGGCGAGAAGAGCCAGCCGTGCTCAACTTTATAGGTGCTGTCGAGTATACGGCAAAGTATACAGGGGAAATATGGAGGATTCGATTGTCAAAAAACGAGAAGGAGAGGGAACAGGGGGGTTGAATCCAGTCCCGACGTTGGAGGAACGGGTTTGGCGCTAACAAAGGGTCCTCCAGGGCTAAACGGAAAGAGCGAGTCAGCACGCAGTTTCGAAGCTGCCCAGGTGAATTCCGTCCAGGCAACCTTGGAAGACAGAGACAACTTTACCTCTTCAATGTGTTTTCCTTAGTGTGAGAGGAAAACAGAACCGGTCCCAGGGATGAGATGTCCGGGAAAACCATTCGGGTTGCCGACGACCAACGTTACTACAGGTTGCCCAGTATTCACAGCTTCAGCTTCGAGGTATACTGAATGTTCCACGCGTTCGAACTCATCGAGATTGATGGTCGAATTCGATGTTCACTAAAGACACTTGTGGTCAGTTTACTTGCAGTTAGTTCGAGTCCACCCGAGAGCCCTAGCCATCCCAATTGGCTCCTGTCTCTATTGAAACAGTGGAACAAATGTGCAAAGCGTCCACGGCTTGCCAATATACCAGTCTCCACAAACAGACTACTTTGGGCTGCTGCCCAAAGTCGCCACGGCTGCAAGAAGGAATGCCTTTGCCTATTTGAAATCACGAATCTATCCGAATGCAGATCTCGGCGGATCCGCATACAAATGCGAATACCAACCCAGGGTCTCCAAATTCGCCTCAATTTTCCAGCGAACCACAGACGAGGACCCAAGCTCAAAGCCGAAAAGCCAGGCGAAAATAAAAATAATAGAAAAGCATGAGCTGAGGTTGGTCCTCTCTCCATGGAGAAAAACACGATTGACGATTGGCTGGCAATTTTATCCGGGGCCGATTCAAAGATCTTAACAATCGTGAACAACTACAATGCAATTCTTTTTGATTTTCCTATTTTATTCTGGACAAAATTCTGAAATCCTGAAATTACCAGAGTGAAGGTTAAACCAAGCCTTCAGAGCTCTACCCCGGAAGTATACGAGGACTTCTATTTCTCCAATTCGGCGTCGTTGGACGAAATAGACTGGCGGCAAGTTGCCTAATCCCCTCAAATACCTTCTCTTCAAAGGTCCCACCTTTCTCTCTTTGACCTCTCGAGTCCTCGTCTTGGATCCCATCTCCCACCTTCTTCAGAATTCTATGTATAAGGCTATCTTCCTCCTAGTCGGGTGACACTTGCCTATAAACACGTATGGCCGACCGCTCTGTGCCCCGGAACCCCTCATACCGTATCCATATTCATACTTCGCCCTCTTAAACGTTTTGGCCCGTTCTCCCATTAGAAATCCATCGATTTCTACCCACAAACTGCCAGTAGTCCGGTTGCTAACCCCTATGAAGTTGTGATATTCTATAGGTAGACACAGGCGGATACCAGGAAGCCCCATTTGATCAGCTTCGAGCACGATAGCCCAGACCATCCCCAAGCCTCTTCCCACATAGGAACAGACCCCCTGACAGACACCTGATCCAGCCCCAAGATGTCAGACCGCACCGCAGCCAACTTCACAAACGGC